GGGGGATCCACATAAGACCAGTTGCAATTTGCCCCCACGATATAAATGATGTGAAACAAAGGACACCTCTTAACTCCCGTATGTTTTATAGTGAAAAAAAGGTTTATTTTCGTATCAATCCTTCAGGAGAGCACGCCCGATTTAATTGTCATGGTGCGTATCTAACGCACCAGATTGAATATAATATATGTAAAATATATCGTCATGCGGGGCAACATGAATTGCACTAAAAAGTCCAATGGATTTTATACCCCTCCAACATCCCAATTAAAGGGGGGAAAACAAAATTTGAACAAGACATATAATATAGATAGGTAAGTGCAAAATGGGATATCACACAAATCAATTGTGAAGCATGACAACATGCATCGTACTAGCGACGCAAGCAGAATATGTATAATATGGGAATACATACATATCGAAGTGAGTAATAAGGACCCATTTGCCAAACGAAGGGGAATATTGCACCAAAGATCATATCCAAAGGAATGTAAATAGAAACAGCCGCCGCAGGCGTTACAGCGCTTTCGAGGGTCCCATTCTAGAAACTGAATTCGAGCAAGATGTCGCCGTTGCGCTTAAGAAGTGCAGAGGGTTAAAACGAGAACAGCAGTGGAACTGCATGCATGAGTCGCCCAATCGTCATCTGGACGGTTGTAGACTTCCTTACAGGGTGCGCCGCTCGGAGGGCAATAGACTTCTGGGCAGCTGCTGTTGCTGGTGAGCTTGTAGCCTTCGTCCCGGAACGGATCGCCGTCAATATTTGAAAGATCGTACCACACTGTGGTATTGACGAGGGTGTACTCGAACTGGGTGATGTTGCTTCGGACAGGTTGTAAGCCAATTTTCAAGGAAACGCCACCCCATGGAGGTCTACGAAAATTCTCATCGTAAGTGCCATTGGGCCTGATCGTCTTCATCGTTGATGAACCTGATCCGCTAACTGACCACAGATAAACCTGGTACTCGCAGTGGTTGTCAACAACGGCTTTCCCTGCCAAGATGCTTGGAACAAGAGTAGCGAATGCGGTGACCGCAGTGATAGCAGATTTGATGTACATGACGAAATAAAGCCTTGAGAACGGATGGACTCGGGTCGGACTATCGCTATATAGGGATAAAGAAAGTAAACTCTGATAGCTTAATAAATGATTGTAGGAATAAGGATAGGCATTAGTTTAAGCACCCAGGAATTCGATGCGGGATCTTTGCGATACATATAAGCAAGTCCCCTCCCTCAATTATGGTAACATGAACCCTTCGGGTTCCAGGGAAGGACTCCACAAAAGAGCGCGTGTTCAAACCCACCAAAGCCATTTTCCGTCGAAAGATCTAAATAACCTTTTTAACCGACAGTAAACGGAGGGTACGGTGCCTGGCTATGTCCAGGATTTATTCCAAGGGTAACTGGTCCCTAGAGGGTTTAGATGGAACCATAGGACAAATGTCCAGTGGAATGCGAACAGTGAACCAGAAAAATGCCAGGAACGGCCGCAACCAGATTGGTAGAGTGTAGCTTATCGCTGTGCGCGGGCTGGTCCGAAGTTAAACAAAAACTTTGATCCAAGAATGTTTGCCCCATAGACATACGGATGTCCTCCCTAGCCACACTTTGCCCTTAATCAAAGCGCATTGGCTGCAATTTTCATCATGGACAACGCATGATAGATTGGTAGAAAAACTGGAAGAATGATCGAGCGTGTCCCCGCATGTAGTAACTATGTACCAACAATGCCGAACCAAGTCGCGCGAGAGAGAAATGAAGTCACCTGGATAGGGTGAACGAAGTCTCGCTATGGATTGGGCATATCGGAGTTGCAGAGCACCTCACATCCTTTGCACTGTATTTCCGAAGCCGATTTGAGAAGTGCCCACTAAAATTTAGCGCCCTAAAGGAGTTGTGTGGTTTATTAACAAATTACTAATACATCTTCCTGTGCTTTCGGATAGTTAGCGTACTTTTTCTGACAGGGCTTTTATGATCCCCTTACCAAGCCAAATCACAGCGGTGGGTTGACGATGCTGTTGCTAAATGTAATGTACTTGTGCCTCGGTTCACTATTCAAATGTCGGTTTCTTATTAGTCTCTGTGTAAGCCTTCCAAATGTTGGGAATCACACCGAGAACTCCCAGGCTCCATGTCGGCTGTTGCGATGCCGATAGTTATCAACCGCAACAAGGATATCATAGATTTGAGCGTCGTGAGGCAGGATCAATGTGACTGGGATATATATCCACACCCTGTCTGTTGAAGACGGTATCTGCCCTGGGTTGAAGGGTAGTTTGAAATAGCACTTCTTGAAGGCTTGTTGGTTTGTTTTAGAGACTCCTTTCTATTGGTCCAAAGCGTTGGCCGTCTGGGTGGGTTATATTTGGTTTGTTATGCTATGTGCGGGCCGCCCAGGACCGCAAGGGGTAAGAGTCTATATGGTAATCAGCATCATTAAATAAGAAGAATTGAGCAGTGGTTGAGTGAGAACGTGTCTAACATTTTCAGCATTGGAACCTCCGAAAATTGAAACAGGATAACTAGGGGTTATCTTACAAAGCAAACGATGACCGTGAGATGATGCCAATGGGGAATCTTCGAAATAGATTTCTTGTTAATTTAGCTATTCAGCCCAAGCATTTTTCGTTCCAGCCTTCTAACCGTGTCATCATGCTCTTACCTCAGTTCAGACCACAGATGGGTTGCACGTATCGGGAATCTTAGCACTGCGTAGCCTACCTCTAGAATGCGGTTGCTGCTTGTCCGTCTGCACATCCCACTAGATGTCTTTCCGCGTTGTGCTGGAAAATAGTAACCTTGGAAGGCATCGGCTTTGCATTTTCCACCTTCCACCGCGGATTCGGGCAGAGGTGACTGAATGAAACATCACCCTAATTGGTGAAATAGTTAGTTGAACTCATGCCGGCTGAGCTTGCAACCACTCGCCTGGCTATTCAAATGATAAGTTTCAGCTATAAAGGGATGAAAGTTGTCACGATCCCTGGGGAAAAGCCGGCGGGATTCGGGTCATTGACGTGGTTATTTTCCCTCTGGAAGCTCGCTCTTTTCAGGTTGAATTCCCATTCTAGGATGACGAATGCTACCAAACTCACTGAAATTGGAGTAAGGTCTTTCAGGATGCCAGAAGCCCCGGGGATACTGCTGTCGACGGGGGCTCTGCATATGAAGACTGTCGCGTCTACCCCACACTAAATGCATCTGTCGGAACTGGATAAAGTCCGAATATTAACCCAAATACTGAATATCAATAGATAAATTGAATTGATTATTCTAACTCCAATAATTACATGATAATCAGGCTGTATTTATAAGAAAGAGAATGCTTGAACATATGATAGAAGCAGTGCTGGTATACATTGGAGCAGTGATCCGGTCTCCGGAATTGAGATAATAGAAGATCCTTGCTAGTGCAATCAACAGAATCCTCAATATGATATATCATTTCTCACAGCACCCCTCTCAAAATTCAATATGCCAAGCAACTAATACATCCTTGTATATAGCAACTACTGCCTCATGATGCGACAAAATGCGTAATCCATCCACGCAAGTGCAGTAACTATAAATAAGTCTTCACTCAGAATTTCTAGCAGGCATTGCCAAATTTCAAAACCTAATGATCCCCGAAAATGGTGTGCGAAGCCGGAGCCAGCCCAGAATATGACAGTGATCAATACTAGCGAAAGCGTCATTTTTGTGGCTCACCAGGACGATCGTAGATACAACGCATTTCACGAAAGAGCGTACGGAGTATATTCTAGATCTGTTAATTGCAAGCCGCCAGCTAAATCTCGAAGCGGGAAGCGGGTCTGGTGAGATTGCTGCCTCATTTTGAGCAGGGACCTTTTTTCTTTTGGTTGTATGAAATGTCGATTATTATTATTATTATTATTATTATTATTATTATTATTATTCATATTTTTCACAGGCCGCATGCAGCCTAAGGCTATGGCAGCCACACTTATTAATATACGGAGTACAAGAAAACCACATATGTTATCCTCCATGTGGGGCTTTAGTTAAGCATTCTACAATTCATCCATAGGCCTCAGGGGAGGCTAACAAGCCCCTAGAAAGTCACCAATCACACCTGACAACCAGCCTATGCTTATCAGGGAAAAACCGTGAAAAAACCTGATAATTAACTAAACCATGTAAATACTTCAGCCAATAGAAGTTATATACAGGCCCTTCATACACTTAGTACTTTTCTAGTACACAATGACTAACTCTAAGGTGACTAGTGTATACATCAACCCCATACATCCCTTCCTGGTCTGTACCAATAGTTAACCAGCTTCTTAATAAGTACCCACTCCTCCCATGAGAACGGGCTCCATGTGGTAAATAATTCTTTAGCAGAGGCAGGCTGCCCCTCAACAGCGTGCCTACTTACCAGGCCTTCCATGGTGACGATTTACCACTACGCCACCACCCCACCTATGAAATGTCGAATAGACAGAAGTCCCCTACAGGAGCATCACATTTATCGAATGATTCGTTTCCCTACAAAGCAGAATCGAGGTAGCTGGGCTTGGATATGAGAGCTAGCATTTCGGATGCAGCAAGCACCCGGAATCCAAACTCGTCAGTCGACAGTACGGAGTACCGTAGTTCGCCCTCGGTAACGGGATGATACGCATGGACTTATCTCAATTCGGCAGGCTGTGGCCTAAGAGCAATCCAGCGGACGTGGTACGCCATGCTTTTAGAAGGTCAACATATGCATTAAATATCATAGAACTCCGTCGAACTACTACTTTGCAATCGATAACATCGAAAGCGAGTAGTTATATGTTCAGCTGTTAAAGCTATTTAAATGCTGTTTTTAATTAACAGTCCTAGTATGTATATTCAGATCGATCCGGGGCTTTAGGGACTCTGATAAATTATTCAATCATATGCAACCGGAAGGTCACCTTCATATGGAGAGTTTCGAAGTGGAACTTTATTCGGGCGATGGTACGTTGAAAAGAGCGCAAAATGCTGTGATGAAGTACCTCCTTTTGATCGAGGTAAGCAGCAAGTTTGGCAAACCGCTGAATATGGAGGGGTCTTGGTGAGTAAAGATGACCTAGACGGGATTTAGGGATGGATATTAGAAACGATGAGTATAAGCTATGTCATTAGAATATAGACAGAATTGAAAAAAAAAAAAAAAAAAAAAAAAAAAAAAAAAAAAAAAAACTCAAAGAGATCTCCGCCCCCAGCAAGCCCTGTTTTTGCCCTACATTTTGTTATTTGTGGCCAAATCAGTTTTCATACCGAACTAGGATAGAATCAAGAAAGGGGGCCTATTCAACTGACCTTCCCTGAAATGTCCCCTTTCCCCGTACCCAAAAGATAACAATTAACCCAAAGAAATTCGCCCTTAGAAGCCCGCTCCTCTTTACGTACGTACTCCGTGGGACAGGGAAGAAATCGAAATCCTCGTCGATGGTGTGAAGAGCAATTAAGTTCACGACTGATCGAACCTTATATCTATGAGAGGATGCACTGCTATGTATGGAAAGAAGCCAGTATCAGAAGATCAATCGGATTTCGGCCATTCAGGTAGTGATTTTGATTTTGATTTTGAGTTTGTATTCTCCCAACCCCCTTTCGTTCCACTTCCCATCATTTGTCGTGAGTTTAGTCAGTTAACGTAATGTAAGTGTATCCTTGTGATTGACGATAGGTTGGCATCGAAATTTGACAGGAATAAATTAAGCGTATAACCCTATGGGTAATGGGAGATAATTGGCAATTAAAAAAGGGGGAGATCCCGAAAACTTTCAAACATCTCATATTGACTCAAGGCATTGGTCCTGCAAGTTAAAATTGACTGCTAGGGGTTTTGTCCCTTGCGCATGGGAAATGTGGAAAAGCACATCAAAATTTCAAAGAGCAGGACGTCAGCCTATGTCAATCAGAAATCTATGGTTATCGGGAAGAAAAATAAATAACTAAGAGCGCCCAACAAAATCGACTATATGCAGAAGATATGATCGGTCCAGTCCGCACTAATTGCGGTGCTCTAGAACGTGTCGACCTTTTTCAGGCGTCAAAACCAGTTGTGGTACCGTAGGGACTGTCAATATCATCCGTTTCAACTGATTGGAGCATATTCTTCGTACGCGGTCCAGTGTATTTCCTACAATAAAAGAAGTAACGGTCAAAATTCGGACGTTTCAAATGAAGACGATATAACATGAACCAATGGGGATCGTCGCAACCACATACCGTCTGGCAGATAGCCGCCACCACGAGAGTGAAAATAGGGCTATGAATCCCGCCACACATACTGCATAATTCCTGTCCACTGTTAGAATTACGATGTATCGTGGGTCATCTCCGAAGATTGTCCTTACATATTCTCTGCCGTGATTGGCCTTGTTGGCGGGAAGAAAAGAACCACACTGATAAAGAGAACCCAAGCAATAGAAATTATATTTAAGGGTGTCCCCCACTCCCCAAGTGTGAACGGCCCTTCGATAAATCGCACTTTATTTTTATATAATTGGTGCGCAAGGATGACAGCAATATAGGATAAATCAAGCGCAGGCGCTGTGATATTGAATATGGCTGTAGCAGTCTGTGTAGATCCAATGGCAATGCAATTGAGGCAAATGCTGAAGAAGACCACAAACCATACGGCGTTGACAGGTGTCAGTGTATATGGATTTACTTTTGCAAAAAACCTATTGAGTGTTGATCAGCGAATCCACCCATGTATAAAACCTTCAAAAGATCAAGGAGAAGAAGTTCCGTACTCTGAAAAAGGAAGTGCATCGTCGCGTGCGAAAGCATAGGTCATTCGCGTATCAGCAAGCATGGCCGAGCAACCTGTGAAAAACTGAACAAGAATGCTGAATGAGAACATTATAGTCCCACCAGTTCGGCCACCAGCATTAAGAAAGATCTGGGCAGCCGGTAGGCCCGTGGGCGAATCTAATATTTTATCCAAGTCGGATAAACAGAAGCACATCGTCACGGTTAGCATCCATCCAAATATCCCAGATACAAGGATGGCTGATTGAATAGCAATTGGGCCGCGTATGGCAGCGTCATGGGTTTCTTCCGACATGCTGAATTGTCACGGCTCTTAGCAATTGATCAGTTAATAGTACTCCGATGCAGGCCACTGACTGAGTCGTTCCATCATAATCGGTCATTGTCCAAGCCACGGATATAAAGCCTAACAGGAAAGAGAACGCTTTAGAATTCCATCCAGAGCCATTTGTCACATTTGTGAATACCCATTTAGCGGATTGTTTCTCGGGAGTAAGGACTAAGAGCGAAACACAGATAGCAATGGACGCAAGTACTATAATTTCAAATAAGATAGAGATCTTCGCCAAAACGGAGTCCGGGGTTCATACTGTTTACTGGGGCGAACCACAATACGATTCGGTGCAAGTTCTTGGTGCTTAATGAACACACGGTCCCCATTACGCATAATAACCCAATGGACAAAAGGACAGTTTGGAGAGCACTCCTGGGCGACTGGTCAGTGAAATGCAATTGAAATCTTCTGATAAAACGGCATATAGCTACGAGACATGTAGCACGATGTAGGAGACGATTCGAAGTGAATCAGACGGTTAGTTAGAGGAACAGGGAAAACCTACGGAGAATATGAGTATTCCCCGTTTTCTAGGGAGGAGTTCATGCTTGCGCATGCCAGCAGCATCTGGCTTACGGTGTATGCAACGCTAGATACCCCAGCAGTCTGTCCCAGCAGGTTGCACCAACCTTGGATCCAGGAAAAAATAGCAACCTGATTGGGAGGCACAACATGCTTTGTTACAAAATACATACCGCCCGCTGTGGGATACGCTGAGACAAGCTCAGCGACAGAACTGGCAATACACATTGCCATAAATGATCCTATAAACCAGCACCATACAGCCGTAGCAGGGCCGCCCGCAGCCAAAGGTGGACCAAATGTCGCTGGGACAGAACCGAGGACCCCGAGAATGGAAATCGCATATGAAACTGTAGACCATTTTGAGAATTCCCTCCTCAGCTCCTGGGCGGATTGGTCAGAGGACTCAAGCTCTAACTAGACGCATATGAGAGTCGAGTAGGTGTTACAACAACACACCTGTTTGTACCCTATCCGTGCTAATAGTCGTTCATCGTCGTCTTGTATAGTAGCCATTGCTGAACTACCTCCAACAGCACCTTTTGAGGAGAGCTGCTTCTGGGCCTTTCCTGGTCCAGTGTGTCCACTCGATTGCTGTTCATCTAAAATCAGAGACATATTGGATGATGGATTGCGCAAAGCAGTTGACCAAAAACAGATATGAATGAATAAATGAATATTAGATAACACGGGGAAAAGGTGATTGATGTATCTGATGCGACATGATGATGATGGCTTTTACCAGGCTCTCAACTTACCACCTTTCAACTTCAGAGTGTCCTTCTCTCGTCAATCAAGAGATGGCTGCAGGAATAAAAACAACTAATGCTCCAGACCATTTCGGGTAGCTCGGGGGGATAGTAGAGATGACTTCGGCATCAAAGCATTTGGCCAGATTTCAATCCCTGGAAATCTTTGACATGGCAGCATCTCCCTTTGTATGAAAAAGCAATTCTGTCTGGCTCGCGATTGGAGAATACATGTTGGTGATGACAGGGGTTCTTGCTGGTGCATGATTTTCGCGCGATCGTAGCATTTTGCTCACCCTGGTCCAGTACGAGCTCCACTGGGAAGTGTGGCTTCGGCGCTGGTATTTCGAAAATGGAGACTCGAACGCCTGGATATGAAATTGAGGCTTGCTCCTGCATTCCGTGCCACTGCCTTTTCGCGAAAGCTGTGGAGAGCGAAATTCTGCCCAATCGAGGCTCCTCCTGGTGCATCACAATTGTTAAGCATCTCGCGACCATCAACCGCACGAATGATGAGCCATCTGGGCCGAGAAGAATACTAGCAACCACAACGAGATGATGGCAGGTTATACAGGACAAAATTTATCGCAGCTCTCGAGGATTAAACGATTCCAGGAGCCAGCTACCAATAGCATAAATATCTTTGATAAAGTCCAATGATCCAAAACGAGAAGTGCCCAATTCATGAAAAGAAAGAATTTTAGGTTAACTGACAGATAATTGTTAGCCAAGTACGGAGGCGTATTTCAAAAGTTCGTTCGCGCCCTAGTAAATTACCTTGAATTTATATTTCACATCGTGGGAAAGCTAATAGGCTTCCTGCATTGGAACAATCAGTAAGTTTTGGTTATAGATGCGAATTAATCACCAATAACCCTATCAAATAAGCATAGGTAACAACTCCATATCGTTTACATTATCAACAGCCCACCTCGACGGGCCGCCGAAACCTGACGACATTCCACTGTCCACGAGCAAGAAGAAGAAGAAGGTAAGAAGACTGATCGCTTTTCTGAGGAACGATTATTCGGATTCTGAATATTTACGACTTTGCAACCGCCACATGACATGCTGCCCAGGGAAATTCAGCTTCTTGAAGGAGGAAAAATCAACCTTCCATCCTTTCTCCTCTAGCCCAACTTCAACATTACTCGCTCCCCTTAGCTATCATACGCTGAATAAATTCTCGGCATCCCAGGAACGCATTTTTATATTCCGTCCTTTTCTTCGACTTTAAAGTTTCGAGATTATTAAACTTAAGTGCATTATGAACCGATGTCGGAGAAAGAAGTAATTATATCATCTTATGGGATGAAGATGAACAGATTGTCTTGAGGAATTTTTTTCCTCCCCTGCTCTTATTTTATCGAAATATCTATCTGGCGATCGTCTTGGTTGACGTTGACTGGGAGATAAACTGTCAGCATCAAAATCAACAAATGCCCCACGGTCCGGAAGAAGAAAGCGTTGAAATAGCGGTCAAAAGAGATACGTTCTCCCTCAATCGCCGACATTATTGACAAATTGATGAAGGTGTCTTGATGGCTTAGAGCTGGCTGGTCTCTCGAAACTGGGTTTTGTTCTCAGTTGGCATGAACTGGTGGGTCGAGCGACTTGACTTTCATCACTTCTCTCAAGGCCCACAGCTGGTGGATGTTGATAGGAGAATAACTGGATTTATTTTCTTGCTAGTATGAATTGTTCTTCTCCTCGTATTTTCTCTTCCTCTCTTTTTATTTTTATTTATATCTTTCGCAGAAATGTTGAGAACACCAGACATTTGACTTTGAACCGATACCTAAATGATCTTCAAATAAGGCCTAAAACTCGTATTTTGAAATGGAGTCATGCATATGCGAGTCACTTTGTCTGTGCAGATGCAGTTGGTTGGCAAATATCAGCACTAAAAAGTTGCCGCAAAATGAACAGATGCGGAACAATCTTGAAAAGCCAGGAAGGATATTTCTCCGTTTTTCCAATGAAGCATTTGAATGACGATACCTCTTCTTGTCCAGTAGCAGCCTTAATTGAATCCATGGTGTGAAAACATCACTGGAAGTTAGAAAAACATTCACGAAAGCAAGAGAAGAGTTCATTCAACATTGGCATTAACTCTTTTTTATTCTCTTTTACTTTTGAAACAAGGTTATGCTTATTGATCCGTTTCCGTCAAGCATCGTTCGAGTATCTTGATATGCACGGGCGGGCGCGTATATGCAGTCAGCAGCACATGCCTCGTGGGTCCATTTCATGCTGCAGAATAACCCGGTTTGAATTAAAATTTAATCCGAGCTGGGCAGACTTCGGCGGAAACGGCAAGTCTCTCCGTTCTGCTCTGTCCGGATGCCGCAAGTACGAGTTATCTTCAGAGAATCTCCCAACGATCCCGAATCTGATAGAGGCTCGATGTCTGAAAATATCGTCATCATCGTCGACGAAGTCCATGAGAAGAGCTGTGACACGTTGTGATATAATCCCCCTTGCCTCCAGCTCGACACAGTCGATCCTCACTACTACGTATGTGCAATGCACTGTATCTTCTCTGTTCTGGGACGTTCTTAGCGCCTTCAATCAACCGCGGATGGACGGGGCCGGTTTTCTACCACTCCTTCCACGCTAAATCTGGTTCGCCGGCGAGCATTGAACATGGCATATTATGTAGAGTTATACCAACACGCCATTGAGTTAGTGAACGGTAATAATAAGAATTACCGCAGAATCTTTAGTAGCCACACCGAACGAAGGTTGAAACTGGCAAAAGCTATAATTGTTTCCTAAAGTAGTTTAGTATAGTTCCAGTTCAAGCTTGCTGCTGACATAACTAGAAATTCACGTGAAAGATGCAAACAAGGCAAACACAACCCATCGCGTGAAAAGAGCCACGTCCAGCTCTGTTCACCAGCGAGCGGAAAATATCAAAGGATACAACTTATCTTCATTTTGGGCCGCATCTAACGAGCACCAACGCCTGTACGGTTTGGCTCAGCTCCTAACCAAATGTATATTCAAGAATCTGTCTTTAAATGACAATCATGCGAGGCCCTTAACCCTCCACTTCCCCCAATTTGACCCTTTCCCGATTTACCTTCCCCAAAGGTTCATCCCGCTCAAGAGATCCGCCTGCGCTGCTACGAAATCTAACGGAGATTGGTTCCAGCCTCCGATCTTCACGAAGAACATGTTTACCTTTACTCCTTTGCTTGGAGCGCAATCATCCGGTTCGAGAGCCGTCCAATCGATACTAGAGCTCGATGGTGGAGTGAAGATATTGGTCGATGTTGGGTGGGATGAGAGTTTTGATGTATCCGCTCTTGCGGAACTAGAAAGGTATGTTCTTCTTGGATGCCCTCACTCAAGCAAAGGCAGTTATCGTAAGAGGGACTTCGCCTATATTCTACCTCTTTGGGCTAACCTCTGCGTCCTACTTGCGCGAACGATTAGGCAAATCCCTACGTTGTCGCTCGTTTTGTTAACCCACGCAACGCCTTCTCACATTGGTGCATTTGCGCATTGCTGCAAAACTTTTCCTTTATTTAATCAGATTCCCATTTACGCAACCAGTCCTGTCATTGCCCTAGGCCGCACACTTCTTCAAGACCTTTATTCTTCCGCACCCCTCGCTGCCACCTTTTTGCCGAAAGCTACATCGGCGGATTCCTCCCCATCGTCGCCAATATCTAGTAGAGCTGAAAATGTAGCAGATACTGCAAATATAGACCATAACGACTCCCCTAGAATACTTTTGCCTCCACCCACGTCCGAAGAGATTGCCCGTTATTTCTCACTAATCCACCCCCTGAAATATTCTCAGCCGCACCAACCTTTACCATCCCCGTTTTCTCCCCCACTCAACGGCCTGACCCTCACAGCGTATAACGCTGGTCATACTGTTGGAGGTACCATATGGCATATTCAACATGGCATGGAATCTATTATCTATGCGGTCGATTGGAACCAAGCAAGAGAGAACGTCATTGCTGGTGCGGCCTGGTTTGGAGGATCGGGCGCAAGTGGGACAGAGGTAGTTGAGCAGCTGAGGAAGCCGACTGCGTTTGTCTGCAGCACAAGGGGCGGGGATAAGTTTTCCCTTTCAGGTGGGAGGAAAAAAAGGGATGATCTACTCATGGATATGATTCGGAACTGCTTCTCCAAGGGTGGGACGGTTCTTATACCCTCCGATACAAGTGCTCGAGCCCTTGAGTTGGCATATGTTTTGGAACACGCGTGGCGAGAATCAGCAGAGACTGTGGATGGAGAGGATCCATTGAAAAGCGGAGAACTTTACCTGGCTGGCAAAAAGGGTTATGGGACAATGCGGCTCGCTCGAAGTATGCTTGAATGGATGGACGAGGGAATTGTCCGTGAATTCGAAGCCGGCCATGGAGGCGATCCTGTCGCTGCCGGTGGTAAAGGCCGTCAGGAGGGCCCAAATCAACGAACTCCGTCAGCAGCCATGACAGACAAAAGAGGCGATAACTCATTCAAAAACCTCGGTCCCTTCACATTCAAACACCTTAAAATTGTGGAACGCAAGGCCAAACTAGAGAAGATACTAGGATCAAATACGCCTAAAGTAATTTTAACGTCTGACACATCACTAAATTGGGGATATTCCAAGCATGTTCTGCAGAAAATAGCTTCAGGATCTGAGAATCTTGTTATCTTGACTGAATCATTCTCGGTATCTCCTAATAAGCAGATGGTGGATGACTTTCGTTTTAGACCCTCTCTAGCTCATGAAATATGGACAATTTATGAGGAGCGAAAGGACGGGGTTTCTTCAGAAACGACTGTTAACGGGGAGCTTCTGGAGCAAGTGCACAGTGGTGGGAGGCTGCTCACTGTCACTGATGTTGAAAAGACTCCTCTGGATGCCAATGATCTGCTGGTGTATCAGCAGTACCTTGCAACAAGAAGGCAATTACAGAATACTGCTCAGGGAAGGGGAGACTCTGGATTAGAAACTACGGCTGATGCACTTGATGATGGGTCCAGCTCGTCCTCATCAGAGGACTCAGATTCAGAACAGCAAGGAAAAGTGCTTAACTTTTCAGTTTCACTAGCTCATTCCAATAAGAATAAGCTAGGTTTAAGCGATGCCGACCTGGGAGTGAATATTCTCTTACGACGGAAAAATGTTCATGATTACGATGTCCGTGGTAAAAAGGGCAGAGAACGGATGTTTCCTTACGTTGCTTCAAGAAAACGTGGTGACGAATACGGCGAGTTTATACGACCAGAAGAGTACCTTAGAGCCGAGGAACGCGAAGACGCTGAAATACAAACAAAACGTGGGCCGGATGGACGTATTCAAACGATGCCCGGTCAGAAGAGAAGATGGGGTGATGTTAGCGCCAACGGAAAACAACCAGCAGTCGTTCCAAATAAACGGCAGCACATGTCACCTGGCTCTCGGGATTTACATGATGCTAGCGGAAATTTGGTTATTCTGATGGAATCGGCGCCAACGGCACTGAAGATGCTAGTGCGTCTGAGGCAGAAGTTGAAGAACAGCACATCGAGGAGCCCTCCAAGGTTACATTTACTTGTTCTACGTTGGAGCTGAATGCCCGAATTGCCTTCGTAGATTTCTCTGGGTTGCATGACAAGCGTAGCTTGGAGATGCTCATTCCACTTATACAACCCAGAAAATTGATTTTGACCGCGGGTCTCAAGGAAGAAACAGAGGCTCTTGCTGCTGAATGTCGGAATCTATTAACAGCGAAGGCTGGTTTAGAGCTGGGGTCATCCAGTCAGTCCGTTGTGGACATCTTCACACCGGTGATTGGTGAAACAGTGGACGCCAGTGTGGACACGAATGCGTGGATGGTCAAACTAAGCAGTACGTTGGTTAAACGTCTAAAGTGGCAAAGCGTTCGAAGTTTAGGCGTTGTCGCTCTCACGGGAGAATTACGGGGACCAGAACCGATGGCTGCTGACGAAGACGGGCCGGGAATGTCTCAAAAGAAACAGAGGACGTTCTCCGAGAATGCTTCTAGCTCTGAGGGGAATGAGAAAAAGCAGCTCGTGCCTAGAAAACACTCTTTCCCTCTTCTAGATGTTCTGCCGGTCAATATGGCTGCGGCAACAAGATCCGTCACTCGACCGCTTCACGTTGGAGACCTCAGGTTAGCTGATCTTCGCAAACTTATGCAATCCTCAGGCCACACTGCGGAATTTCGTGGTGAAGGCACTCTTTTGATTGATGGGTTCGTCGCCGTCCGGAAGTCTGGGACAGGAAAAATTGAAATTGAAGGCGCCGCTCAATCTGCGTTGTCGAACCGTTCAGCCTTGAAGCGCGATGAAGGGAGCTTTCTAGCAGTGAAGAGGAAAATTTATGAAGGTCTGGCAATCGTTGCTGGCGGATAATTTATTTGTCCTTTCCCCTGTCATTTCATCAACAACGTTTCCTGGGGACTCCACTTTTTAAATTTTTCTTGTTGCATTGTTCCTGATCTCGTGTGTTTGGTTGATATCCAAATAAAATTCTCGCGAAATCTAAAGATCTTTGGCATTGAATTTATTTAACAAAGTGTTTTATTATCTGCTGTTTTGTTGTTATTGACTTTCTCATTCACAGAACAAACAGGGGTTTGTTCTGCTCACAAAGAGATTTCTTTCTTGTGTCAAGCTTTACCATTTTCACTTTTTGATACAAGCCAATTTGTGAGGATAAAGAAGATGTCATTGCACGATGTTTTGATACGTGTGTGGGTGAAGCTGCCCACCGGTCAAATATTTGTATTATCACCTTTTTACATTGGTTGTGAAGTTCTGGGTGTGTTTGCAAGAGCTCAGGCATGATTTTCATGCAGACTATAAATATCCATACGCTCCCTTTTGCCTGGCCCATTTTTCTTACTTCCTCCTTGAGGTCAAGAAGAGTCGGTTCTATATCCATATATATAACACATAGGCGCGCTTCATCTATGCATTGACATCAATATAGGTTAGTTCCCTGGTGCTCTTGGACTGCCACGGTCGATGCCCTTTACTGACATAAATAGCCACCTTCGCTGATTGTTCTGAGATAGCCTTACTGGTCAACCTTACATCCACACACATATATATCCGCGTTTTACAATGGCTGAAATCCTCTATTTAACTATGGATGGAGAACCTCCCAATGGAGGATTGCCCCCGAACTTGGGAACTTTTGCACACGCGCCACAGCCACAATTTCCTGCTCCTGGATTTCCAATGTTTGTACCAGGCCCGCCTTCACAGGCACCTGTTGAACAAGCCCCTCTCCAAGGATTTTTTGGACCAGCATTTTTCCCTCCAGGTATGGGCTCTCACATCCTCTCCAATTAGTCCATTGTCTTCCCTAATATCCATGCAGTCTTCCCTGCCAACATGTTTGATTTCCAGCCCCAACAAGCACAGCAGTTTGGTATGCAGGAGCCTGCTTTTAACCCTGGGCCCCCTGCCCCTCCCAACTACCAAAACCCGCACGGCGGTATTATGCCGGGCACAACCGATCAACCGCTTGTTCTGCCTGGAGGGCATGGATATATATTCCCACCACATAACACAACCATCCACTTATTCCGCTGCACAACTCACTACCCTTGGGATTCCCACGACGGAATCTTCGATTTCGTGACATACCAGGCTCCAACCAATATGACCGTGGCAGATCTTATTAGGCAAATATGCCCACAGGGTGATGCTATAAGAGGACGCGGACTCATTGAATGCCAACAAGAGGTCTTCGGGGGTACGACCAGATTTACTAGGGGCCAAGAATATTTCATTGGAGAAGGGAAAGGAGAAGCTGCTGCCATGCAAGAGATTGTAGGCAAAACTCTCACAGAAGTTGGCTGGAATGAACACCGGAGGGCAAATGCAAATCCGGTTTGGCTGGCCAGCTCCCTCAGCTTGCAATGAACTCTTTTACCATGCCTTTTCGCTACCCACTTTATGATGCTTAATACTCGTTCTTATTTATTTTTTTTTCAAGCGTCTACGCAGCCTAGTGGACATTGAAACGTGGAGTTAGGTTACCCAGTTTCACCTTTGAAATCAAAGGATTTCAATTCTCTCCAGCTTTGTAAAATTACCCAGCGTGTTTTTGCTTCTCCATGTAAGCCCCCCTATGCATAAATTTTCGCGAATAGCTCTGTGATAATCTAGTTTCACTGATCAGGGTTTTCTTTGGTTTTTTGTCGCTTTTTTTGTTGTTGTTTTCAGTTTCATTCTCGGTTTTATATTATTATCCATATCCTGCGCATACCTATATACGTCTTGTTATGTTATTGCAGATTTTAACTCTGCTGGCTATCTTTGTTGCACTCTTTGTGCTATTTCTGTCTAGTGGACACAACCCCCCCTCCACCCCGTATATAGCTTCTGTTTGAAGTTCTTTCCTTACGATAGAGTCTGGATAGCAATATGAAGTCTAAAACCATCGTTTTGTTCCTTTCATACACTCCACTAGCAATGCCATTATCTTCAAGGGAAAAGAGGCTGATGAGGTATAGTATCACATGACTACCTCGGTCAAACGTAACTCCGGAGAGTAAGGTTCCCCAGCGCCATTCGATATGTGGTCAGTTTCCAGTCGCAGTCTGGGAGTAATTACACGTTCGCCCACCGTGCTTCTCTGGCTATGATATAGCAGCGAGCGATTGCGGATACTCGCGAAGGAAGGTCAGAAGGCCCACTCGTTTATTTGTGGCGAACCCGCATCTGGCACAAACATGGCCGACTTCTCGACATATCATTCTTTAGGCCAGGGTGAGGAAGACATGAGGACGGCGGGTGTGCCGCCGCAGTTCAACCCTCCGATTGCTCAAGAGCACCCGAGCTACCAGCACAATAAGTCTCCACATGGGGATAATCTGTCCCCAATGGGCACCATGGACTCAGCCGGATATTCGTCAGGATTGCCTGGGGAAACTCAAGGAGGAGATACAATGGGAGGATTATCATCTCAGATGGGCGGCTTAGGGATCAGTGGAGCCATGGGCGGAAGCGTCCGTACTCACAAGAAAAAGGATAGACATGCTTATCACGATATTGGTGTGCCGTCTCCTACCTCACAAACATTCAATGGGATGGCACAAGGTGGGATTCAGCTTCAATCAGGAATGAACCCACAACTTCCACCGAGCTCTCCATATCCTCACCTAGCTTCTCCAGGCTCACAGCACCCCTTACAATCGGGACAACCCTTTGGTGGGAGCGCTAAATTTTCTTCTGCTGGAGATGGCTCGGTTTCTACCCAAGGGAAGGTTGACCCTGAACAAGTTCCAGGCGTTCCAATTGCACGCGATGTTGCTGCACATATTATCTCAACCACGTATATGCCACGATGGAACGTCACATACCCCCCCCCAGCACTGTCCCTTTCGTAGCACACGATCAAGGCAATCCTCTCCAAAGTTCGCTCGGCTTACACTTAATAATATCCTTCTACCCTCGAATTCCTCTCGTCTACCGCACTTCCTCTCGGTATGGTTCTCCAACCTCTTGCTCCCATAGACTCTGGCGAACAACCCATCCCTGTTCTAGACTTCGGCGACGCTGGCCCTCCCAGATGTCGAAGGTGCAGAGCATATATAAACCCCTTCATGATGTTCAGATCAGGCGGCAATAAATTCGTATGCAACATGTGTACCTTTCCTAATGAGGTACCACCTGAATATTTTTCGCCGCTGGAGCCGTCAGGGGTCCGGGTAGATCGCATGCAACGCCCCGAGTTGATGCTGGGAACAGTTGAATATATGGTACCTAAAGAATATTGGGGAAACGTTCCTGTAGGGCTACGATGGCTATTTCTGATCGACGTTTCACAAGAATCAGTAACTCGAGGATTTTTAGAGGCTTCTTGCGAGGGAATAATTGGAGCCCTGTATGGAGGTAGTAGCGATGACCAAGAAACACAAGACCAAAATACACGACCCGGAAAACTCCCTGCAGGGTCAAAAGTTGGAATAATTACTTTTGATAAAGAAGTACACTTTTATAACCTCTGCGTATGTTTGCTTACTTGTGTCTTCGTCTTAAATCTCGTCTACTTACGAATGTTTATAGTCTCGCCTCGAACAAGCTCAAATGATTGTGATGACCGATCTTAACGATCCTTTCCTTCCTCTGAGTGAAGGCCTGTTTGTTGATCCTTATGAATCCAAGTACTAATGACCGCATCATATGTTCTACCTTTCATATTATACTAATTTGTCCTTAGGCATGTCATCTCATCACTATTAACACAAATACCAACATTATTTTCACATATTAAAAACCCAGAACCAGCGCTATTACCTGCCATAAATGCCGCCTTGTCCGCACTGGAGCAAACTGGTGGTAAAATGATTTGCACGCTAGCAAGCTTACCAACATGGGGTCCCGGCCGACTATTTATGAGGGATGATGGCAAGGGATCGGGCACTGATGCCGAAAAGAAGCTTCTCACCACCGATCACCCTAGTTGGAAAAAGACTGCAAATAAACTATCTGAGAGTGGAGTCGGAATTGACTTTTTCTTAGCCTCATGTGGCGGTGCTTATATGGACGTAGCTACGATCGGTACGTACCTCGCTCCCCCATTTGGACGTCATATGCTAAGCATTCTTGCAATAGGCCACGTGGCTGCAGTTTCTGGCGGAGAGACCTTCCTATATCCCAACTTCCATTCTCCTCGCGATGTCCTGAAGCTGTCAAATGAGCTTTCCCATGCTGTAAACAGGGAAACCGGTTACCAAGCTTTGCTAAAAGTCCGATGCTCCAATGGACTTCAAGTCTCATCGTATCATGGTAACTACGTTCAGCACACTTTTGGCTCAGACCTGCAATTGGGCAGTATAGATGCAGACAAGGCCTTTGGTGTTGTTTTCACGTATGACGGAAAGCTTGATACGAAGCTAGATGCTCATTTCCAAGCTGCGCTCCTGTACACCACTGCTAGCGGTCAGCGACGAGTAAGATGCATCAACATCGTTGCTGGCGTCAATGAGGGCGGGATGGAGACGATGAAAGCAATTGACCAAGATGCTGTGGTCAATATAATGGCCAAAGAAGGTTAGTTTGGAATATGTCATGATAGGAAGAAGTAACGCTAATACCGGGTACAAAGCTGCCTCGAAAGTGCCTGATAAGTCACACAAAGATATCCGAGCCGGGTTAACTGAGAGGACTATCAATATCCTTGCGGGCTACCGAAAGAATTTCTCTCTGTCACATCCTCCCGGACAGCTTGTTTTGCCAGAGAATATGAAGGAGTTTGCCATGTATATACTAAGTTTGATAAAATGTCGTGCTTTCAAAGGTAAGTGTCAGCGTTTCAGCGTTTCAGCGACTGCCACCGTTTCCATTATCGAAATACGTACCTGGTGCCGAGTTAGCTACATGACAAGAGCTTCATTCTGACGTGAAAACAGCTGGCCATGAGACTTCCGATCGTCGGGTCCATGACACGCGTATGCTTCGTTCATTCGGTTGTAATGAACTTGCTCTTTATTTATATCCTCATATTATTCCAATTCATAATTTACGCCCAGAAGACGGCTTCGCCAATGAGCAGGACCAACTTCAAGTTCCTCCAGCACTCCGAGCATCCTTTTCACGCATCGAAGAAGGAGGTGCTTACCTTGTGGATAATGGCCAGATTTGTCTCCTTTGGCTTCATGCTCAAGTTTCACCAAATCTTCTGGAGGACCTCTTTGGCCCTGGTAAAACAACACTACAGTCTCTTGATCCCAACATTTCATCCCTTCCTTTGCTGGAAACACACTTGAATGCCCAAGTGCGGAATATTATTCAATATCTCTCCACCATTCGCGGCTCCAAGTCGGTAACGATACAGCTTGCTCGGCAAGGGATAGATGGCTCCGAATACGAGTTTGCGAGACTTCTTCTCGAAGATAGAAACAACGATGCCCAAAGTTACGTCGACTGGCTTGTGCATATTCACCGACAGATCCAACTTGAACTTGGAGGTCAGCGAAAAAAGGAGGAAGGCAGTGCCGTTGCCTCAGGGGTGGAAAATTCTTTGTCTGGATTGAGTGGGTTTAGGCCTCCATATTGGTGATTTCGACGGATTTAGCATACACAATCATGGATTTATGATTTCCACAAGTGAAAAATCATTATTATTTTCCATCCTTGATTTCT